CTTGGTAAAAGTCCTACCCAAGGGGAACCAGGGTATGCTGTGTCCCTGCCCCAGGAGGGAGGGATCACTCTCTCATCTTTCAGCCCATCTGAGCATCTTGGAGGTTTAGGGTCTGTCAGGCCTGGCATTCCTTCGCTCTTCTTATCACTCTCTACCCCTTCAAAAAGGCAATTGATTAGTTTCAGCTTTTCCAAACCGAGATCCGATACGTTTCTGAGGATCAAACGTCTTTGAGAAGCCAAAAGAGAATGTGGGGGATGGGGAATGTGAAGAAAACCCAAGAAGGGTAGAAATTTCCCCTAGATCCAAACCCTAGGAACCCAAGACATCGAGGGGATCTGGGTGCTGGACAGAGGACGGAGTTGTGACTTTTCCTGAAAGATGCACTTAACAATTTAAGATGTGTCTTTCCTTTCCGGAAGCAAATAATTACAAGAGAAAATAGATAACTAGAAAAGGAGGTTGATGATTTATGTCTGGATTTCCCTCCAAGCATTTGCCTCCCTTACATTTACAGGCGTGGCCCCATTTGCAAGTTGTACATCTGTTCTCTTCACGTGACATTTCATAAAAGCCCTAACATCTGGGCAAGATAAACTTCCTTCAGGTACCTGGTTAACTTTTCACTTGTCACACTGGAGTCACCCCTGGCCCGTTCCCTTCCCCCCTCCCTCCTGCCTCAGTGGAGGGGTCAGTGGTGTACCCTTTGTTCCAACCCCTTTCTTCCTGGCCCCCATAAAGCCTCTGGTCCCTCCAGACCCCCACAGAGCCCCCCCCCCACTGCAACCTTGGCCAGGGCCATTTTCTGTGGCAGACCCTAACTCTTAAATCTCACTTCTATGGCTCTACTGTACAGGTAAATGAAATAGAGTCTTCAGTTTAAGGATAAAAATCATATTTTGAGTCTGGATTCAGACAAAAATCAAACACAGCAAACCAAAACCAAAAAAAAAAAAAAAAAAAGCCCCATAAGCAACTCAAACTTGCACTTAGTTTGGACTGTCTTTCACACACTTATATATCTCTCAGTGAAGTAAGAAAGGCGAGGGACTGGTTTTGATGGCCGCTGTTTCATTGAGCATTCTATCTATCTGTTTGACAGAAATTTTAATTTCAGTCCTTAGCAATTTCCCCTCCCCCCAACAGTAGCGACTTCTGGATGATTTTTTTTTTATCGTGTTTTCTTTTCTTAAACTAGAATTTTGTTCCTCTTGCTTCAGTCTAAATCCCATGCACCCAGAAGTACGAAGATATATCCATAAAGTTGAGAAGGGGAAAAAATAGAAAAAGAGAATAATAGTCCACGTAAACAAGAGAGGCGGCCGGCTTGAGGCCCTCGCTGCAGCAAACCCCAAACGATCCCACTGCAGGGCGCCCACGAAACCCTCGCTATAATTGAGTGTTTTCTTTGAGGTTTTTCTGACCATGTGCTCTTTACCATGGTTACAATGACTCTGATATGAGAAGCTGGATCTTCTCATATCATAGGACCCCTCTCCATCCTTTCCCTCAGGCTTATTCCCAGGTCCTTGTGAAGGAGAATACTAGGGGGTGAGGGACTTTTGTGCCAGTGATTTTAACCTGCTCCACCTTTCAGTGACCGGCCACATGCTCCTTCTTACTTTATAGACATCTGGGAATTCCATACATGCCTTAAACTCCAATTACACACCTTCTTCAAAGGACACGTGCTTTGATTTGCAAAGAACATTAAGTGGACTCACATCCTGGGGGCCTGGGACAAAAGTAAATGGAAAAAGTGCCCATGCTTTGTTTACTGGATCTATCTTTTGCTGTTCAATAAAAGGGGGTCATTAATAGTCTTTTGAGCCATGTTTCTGGGCTTAGTTTGCAAAAAAAAAAAAAAAAAATTACTAAGTTTCTGGGAAACAGTGGGGTTGCCAGCTTTGAGAAATTGGGAGGAAACAGATTTCTCCTTCCACTTTGCCGGTGCGCTTTCCTTCCACTTTCGCTGATGCTGGGGGTGGAGCACGCTTTACGACACACAAGCAGAAGATTTTGGAGAAGTGGCCCTCGGGGATCCCCCTCCTGACCCCCGTTTGTCACTAGTGCAGGCCTGTCTCTGGAAATTTGAGGTTGGGCCTCTGGCTGAATCTGTTGATGCTGCTGCCCTTGCTACCGCTGACACTTGGAGCCGCCGCCTCCACGTAGCGAACAGACGTAGACCATCCACGCTGTCCGAGGAGGCCACGGACATTGTCACTTTACCCTCAGTGCGGACTCGGCTGCCACCCACGCTGGGAAGTTTAACCCGTGCCCCCCTCCTGCGCCCGCCGCAGGTGAGACTCCCGCTCCCCACGGAGTTCTGTTTGGGTTTCCGTGGCGTTTGTTCCACGCAGGTTTGTTTGTTTTTCTTCAAATTACAGATGCAGGGAAAACCGCCTGACATCATGAGAGCGGGACAAACGCTCACTTTGAAGGATTCCTGGGCAGGACTTCAAGTGAAATCATATGCCTGAGAAGAACTTGATACCGGTCTAGAGAAAATAACCAGTTCTGAGTTTGCCAAACCGTGGAATGTGCAAAATGCTCGACTTTTTTGCGAGAGGCCAAGTGTCCCTTAAAAGCTCCATTATGAATATGAGCCTGAAGACACAAGGAACAAAAGCTTATGCCTTTGTTGAGTGTGAGGGAAAGTGCACACTCTGTGTGAGTTTCTCGTATTTTACCTTATTTTATCGACATGTTCCATGTTGGATGAAGTACCTGTAACTGATCATCTGCGTGTGTGCTTAGCGAGTGTGGACACAAAGTGCGGAAATATGTGAATATGGGAGCACAGATTTACTGATTTCTTACAAGTGACTGAAGCAATCAACCCAACAAATTTCAAAGCAAGATCAAAAAATTATATGTGCAGAGTAGGAAGCATTCTTACTCACTTGCTTAAAATTCACCCTAACAATTATATACAATACTTTCCCTTCCGTGAGTACTCTGACTAAATGATAAAGACCCCTGGGGTCAGCCACCACAGTTAGTCCCAACTTCAGAAAGAGGTAAGTCATTCTATGTGATTTGTTAAAGTTAGAATTGGTAGCAAAAGTGAAATGAAAGCTGGAAATGATGATAGAAACACAGGTGGCTTCATTTCCAGTCTTTAAAAGAATTAGCACTGTCATGTGTATTGGTTATGGGAAAGTTGAGAAATCAGAAAGTCTGCAAGCTGAAAATTATATTCTAAGTCAATATTTTCCACCGTGAATTCTTCTCAGGCAAAATAAAACTATTCACCACCTTTCTTTCATTCATTTCTCTGAAGTTCTAGGGGAAAATATTACCCTTAGTTCAGGAGTTAGTATTACTCAACATAAATGTGGTATTTGCTTTTCTCTAAAGTATTTTTGCTTATGAAAAAGTGGAGGGGGCAAGCAAAACAAAAGGGAAACAAACGGAAGGCTATCTTTCTTTTTCTTTCTTCTTCTTCTTCTTCTTTTTTTTTTTGATTACTTCCAGTGTTTATATCATCAGAGTTAAAACAGAAATTACCTTTTCAGCAATGATGCTCAGCTCCATCCTGATGTACGGCAAGAAATCTGAAATATCAAATAGTCAGACCAAGCTAGTGAACAAGGAGATTCCTCCATGAACAAGTTAGAAAATGGAGGTGTTTGGATGATACACACAAAAGAGAGGAGTACCATATGATGCTCTCCCTGATCTTTCTAGGGCACCCTCCTTACAATTCTGCCCTACACACATATACACACACACTCCTCAACACACCCACATCCCACAAATACATCCACACATAGTTATCTTTGCCATCTCATTTGGTAAAGGACCATCAAAATCCAAAAAGTCAATTACCAAGCCTTCAATAACCCTTCAATATAAGTAAATGCTATTGGCTTTTTGTAGCCTACAATATTCACAATAAGAAATCTGCAATATTGTTATGTGAACATTCTATGATGAGCTGTGGAGAGAGAAACAAAACTTTCGGGCAATATGATAAACTCAGCGTGAGCTGAGCAAATATGATCTGTTTGGATTCACATACTTATTTGCCATAGTCATTATTTGACTCAGTTAGCAAAATTATTTTCCAGTTTCAAAGCTTCCCTAATTATACTTGATTGCAGCAAACTGGATGTAACAGTTAAGAACTAAGTGACACAAACTTGTAAGTTGCAGTGATACAATTATAAGTCAATACTTTCCTGAGCCAGAAGTAGCCAGAATAAAACAAAAATCAAGAATTATTTGTTTCTGCTATTACTTCATAAAATTTTTGAATACACGTAACTGACCATGAAAATTTTTTGTGTAATTTTGGATAAAATATATTTGCTAGTGAACTAACTATAACATTAAAATTGTAATGGTTCCAACAATAAGGGAGGACATAGAAAGTTTAGGCTCTTACTGTATTTTACCTCCAAAACTTTATGTTCTTTATATATAAAGGAGCCTGCTTCCCAAATGGATATCATTTAGTGTTTCTTTCTATCAAAAAATAGACTAAATGCACTTCACACTTAGGAAAGAAGAGTTAAGTAAATTACAAGTAGAATTCTCTTTCCTGAATTAAACTTTATTATTTTCTATACACTTGTATCCTGAACCTGTTTTTTAAAGATCTTCACAAAAAGTGAAGGGAATGACCAAAAAATGCACATAATGAGAAATTAGTGTTGGCTTCATACTACTTATTTATAGTTAACTGTTTTGCAGCTGCCTCCTTGAGATATAAGCAAGAGAATAACAAACTTGTTAAGTTTTTTTCTGTTGGGGACCTGATTAGAGATGAAGGAAAGATGCTGCTAAGCCCACTGAACAACAAACTGGAATAATAATAAAGTTGTCTTTCTAAATAACATGCCTGTGCCTGTCAGTAGCTAGTTTATTTGAGTTTTTCACTGCTTTGTTTATATTAGTGCCCCCTCCCTCTTGGGTGCCTCCAGAGTTAAACAAGCAGGTATTTACCTCCAACTTAATCCTAAGTTTTAAAAATATAGACCAAACTCTAAGGTTCTTAAAATTTTTCAATCATATTTATTTATTGCAGAAAAATAATATACAAAGATATTTACAAAACAATCATAAAAATATGAATGCATTTAGACACCGGATCTATTTGCATTTTACCATGGGTCATCAATAAATAAATAGAATGTTGTTTTTTGTATTTTAAGTTTTTTTTCTTCAGAGGAAGAAAGAAAAACAGGAATTAACTGACTGTGATTTTGCGAGTCAGTTTGGTCCCAGGATTTTTATTTCTAAAGGTGTTCTTAAAATTCCTCTGATTGTTACCATTTTAAAATGGAGAAAGTCCATAATGATGCCTTTCCTTTCAGTGGCTGATTGGCACGACCTCTTGAGAATGCATGCATGAAAAAATAAAAATAAAAATAAAAACATTCTTCGTCAAAAAAAGAAAAAGGAAGAAAAAGGAACACAAACAACTGTTCAGACTTCTATCAGAATGTAGAGGTGTGAGGATGGTGCCGCTGCCCGTCAGGGAATCATTGTCCACGGGCCTGTCTCGCTTTCTCTTTTAAAAGTGCGCCCCACGCCCTGTTTCTTTGAATTTGGGTTCTGCTCTTCTAATTTCCAAGAAAATCTTTGGCAAATATATTTATTTTTAGTTATCCAGCTCCAGAGTCTCTAGACTGTCCATTTTCTCCTTCTCTGGAAACAATGACATCTGCAAAAACCCAGAGGGGGAAAGTTGGTTATTGTTTAGGTCTCTGTAGCTGTTTTCTAAGACTAGCGAGCACTGTTCTTATCACCATCACCGAGAAATTACGCTAACAACCTGGAAGGATTTCAGCCCAAGGGCAAGAGGAAGTGGGTGGGCGGAAAGAAGGAGGAGGTGGAATTTGGAAACGTTTGTTGTAAGAAGAACGAAAACTTAAAGCCAAGAGAAAGGGAGGCGCTGGCAAGACAGTCCTTACCCACGACCCCTGCATCTTTCCCAGTCTTCTCTCCTGTCTGTCACGCACACTCACACACACGCACACCCATCATAGGGTGCACCTCTCTGTAGACCTCTCTCCCTAGCGGGAACTGAACTGCCTTCAGGGATTGCGGGTGGTGGTGGAGGGTGGTGAGGTGGAGGTGGCAGGTTGCTGGGGAGGCGGAGAGGGCAGTGGGAGAGGGAAAGCTAGGAGAGGTGGACAGGGAGACGTGGCCTGGTCAGCAGTCCGTCTGCCACCTGAGCGGCAATGCGGCGCAAAGGCGCCTGTCCTTACCTAGGTCTCCGACCCTGCCGAGGGAGTGGGGAGCTCCGCCTGCTAGTGGGACGCGGACATGGACCAGGCCCCTTCCATCCTCCAGACTGAGAAGGCGTAGCTGAGCCGCTCGTGGGCCACATAGCTGCAGCTTGCCATCTTGGAGTCCAGCTCGTCGCTCTGGAGGACCTGGTAGAGGAAGTCGATGTACCTGGCAGCTAACTTGAGGGTCTGGATCTTGCTCAGCTTGTCCGAGGGCAGCGTGGGGATGATCTTCCGCAGCGCTGCGAACGCCTCGTTCAGCGACTGCGTGCGCTGGCGCTCCCGCACGTTGGCCATGACCCGCTGAGTCTGCAGCTCCTCGTACGACTGAGGACTCCCGCCGCCGCTGCTGCTGCCTCCGCCACCCGCGCCGCCGCCGCCACAGCCCGCAGACTTCTTGCCGCGTTTGCCCTGGGCCGGGCTGCCGGGTTCCTCGCCACCTCCGACGCCCCCGCCCGCGGCCCCGCCGGGCCCCGCACCGCCGCCCGCGCTGCGCCGGCTACTGCGCCGCTTGCGCCCCCCACGCTTGCCGCTCGGCGGCTGCTGCCGATCAGGCTCCTCCTCGCTGTTGCTCAAGCTGTCGTCGGCCGGCGAGACTGGCGAGCTGGACACGTCCTGCATCATCTCTCGGGCGGCTACGAGCGGCCTCGCAGGCCCGGGGCAGAGAGGTAGCCCGGGGAAGAGGAGGAGAGCGGGGCGCCTCAGCCCGCCAGCTTCCCCCGTGCACGGCGCGGGCCGGGGCAGTGCGGCCCGCCGAGGAGGGAGCGGGAGGAGGGACAGGGAGGATCTCCACGGGGAGGGCGGTGGGGGGAGGCGGGGAGGGAGGCCGGAGGGGGAGGGGACGGTGTGGATGGCCCCGAGGTCCAAAAAGAAGGCGCCTAACGGTTGCACGCACACCCGGCTCGGTCTTCTGGAAACGGTGCCGGTACCGACGAGCCCGCGAGAAGTCTGGGAGTTGGGCAGAAGCTGCAAACTTGGAGGCTCTTATACCTCTGTGCAGGCGGAAAGTTTAGGGGCAGCAGTGTCATTGGCCTGACGTGGGGAGGAGGGACTTTTCGAAGTTTTATAGGGAAGTTTCCGCTTTCCAGCCCCCCTCCCCCGCTCCCACCCCCTTTCCACAGAGTCTAACAATTCGTCCTCCCAAACCATTCAAAAACGACCTGGTCCTGGCGGCCGCCCCCTCCGCCCGCCTCTCTAAGCTCTCCCCTTTCCCTCCCCGCCGCCCTCAGCTTGCCAGCGCGGGGCGATTTCCTTCCGCATCCGAGCGCTCGGGCCGCACCCCCGCACCCGATCACAGGCCGGAGGGGACAGACAAGGCGGTGGCAGTCCCTCCTGGAGTGACTGTGACAGCAGCGGCAGCAACAGCACCAGCAACAGCTTCTACGCAATGGGTGATATCTCATCTCGCCCCAGTACGCTCTAGGTCCCTGGAGCCGAATGGGATTTTGGGGGTGGGGGTAGGGTTGGGGGGGCTGTCAAGGAAACTGGCGACCGCAGAACCCACCCAAGTATCAGGTAAATGGAACTCTGCAGCCCCGACGACAAACCGCGGTGGCGGGCCCTGAGGTCCTTGGCTTTTCTGAAGACGTGGCTGTGCGTGCTGCAGGGGCGGTGGATCTGCTCCCAGGCCTACTTCTCACCCCTCCCTGAGAATCACCTGGGCCTTTCATTTCCTTCCACTGTGACCCAATCTAACTTCCCAACACCCAGAGGACTACTCCTATGAAGGTACCAGAAAGAGCCAGAAGTTCATTCTCCCGCAGAAGGCCAACGTGTCCCAGAAGAAGGCAGCAGGGAGGGAGGAGACCAACATAGCATCTTTGCCAGGACCCTGATCACCTAAGATGCCAGCCAAAAGGTGAAAGACCGGGTAGACATTCCCTCCCCACCCCACTTCCAGATGAGGTCCTGCATTGTGACCTCTAAAGGTCGGCTCATAAAAGAATGAGATGAGGATTCAACATTGCCCACACAGAGAGTTGCAACAGCTCTGAGAACAATTCTTCCTCATCCCATTTCATTACTCAGAGGTTAAGTAGAAAATTATGCTTCGGGCACCCCGAGTACATTCCAAATGCTAGGGCACTTTTACATTTTAAGCATTGCTAGCTAAGAATTTCACAATGAAACCCTCCAAAGAGGGTGTTTAATGCAGATTCTAGCAAATTTGAAGTAACAAAAAACAAAGTTGGTGAACGGGAAGGGAAGGCATTGTGAAAGACAAGTCCATCTTTAAAATACTAACAAAAAAACTTTTCTTACAATAATCGTCACATATTTAGCCCCTACATTCCAAAGCAAACTAGAAGTCAAAAGTAGTAGTCGGTGTTTGGGGGCCAGATTTGGTGGGTGAAGAAGTATTCCTGGCGCTCTCGTGCCCTGCGTAGACTGAGACCCGCCCACGCCTTTCCCAGTCTGGACTCGCAGGTGAGAATTCACAAAAGTGCCCGTTCTGGGTTGTGCCCCTTGGGTCATGGCTGCTAGAAGTGCAGGAGGGAGCTTAGGCGATGCTCAGGCGGCCACGTGGCTGTGCCGCGCTGGACTCCTAGGTAAAGTCTGAAAATCCCCAGAGCTTGGAGAGTCTAGGGATAGCAGAATGACTCAGAAGGGAGGCCAGTGGCCTCAGAGGGTTGAGAATGAGAATGGTGGTGGGGAACAAGATTGTGCTTTCTGGGAGGGGCGACTAGCAGGGCTGATCTATCACTTTCCATGAATATTTAGAGACAATGACCAACAACTTGTGCCAACTGGTCAGTTTATCAAATTGTTGCTGTATTTTAAAATGAAATACTGTCTAGAAAAAAATAACATTCTACTTGACCTCCACTTAATAGCACACAGACATCTATCCTTAAAACAAAGTACATTCTAGATAAGACATCTTGTGTTTGCATCTTCTGCCTGCACTGTATCTCTTGGAAGAGATTAGAGAATGAGGCAGAACTTCTGCTCTGTCTAATCTGCCTTGTAGGATATTCCATAATTCTTATTTGAATGTGATTGCAAAGATCTCATTTTTTTCACATTTACCTTTTTTTCCTTAAAAGATCAATCTCAGTCTCCCCCCCCCCACACCCCTTTTAGCTTAATTCTCAAAAGTAAGCACAGAGGAATAATTGGACTCTTTCTTTTGTGGCGCTGGGTAAGCAAGACAGGAAAGTGTGGGTAAAGTGTAAAGGAAACTTTATCTGACCGAGGGGATTTGGGGTTGAGGGGAGGTTGGAAGGAGAGGTGGAGAAGCTGGAGTCAAAAACAGAAGTCCACAAACAGCTAGCAACCAAGGATCACCAGCAAGCCCACTTTCAATCTTCATTCCCCAAGATCAGTTCTTAAATAAATGAGCCCATTCTACTCTGGGAATTAAAATTCTAAGTGATGAAGAGCTTCTGGCCTTTGGTTATAGAGATCTCCAGGGTTGAGAACAAAATGCTTAGAAGAAAATTAAAATGAATGATCTAACCAGAACCATCACTGGCATGGAATCTTCCTGACAGTCTCGAATGACGGTAGTGCTGAGAAGAGATTTCTATGGAACTCTTACAAGAAGCTAATGAGACGAGTATTTAAGCACCCAAATCTAATTTTTGGGGGGATAGAAGATTGACAAACGAATTACCTCTCAAATTTCTAGATAGTGATACACCCTGCTTGCCTACTAATATCTCTTGGCCCTATTGTTCTGTTCTACTCATCTATAAGTGTATGCTACCTAACATTTTATCTAGCAACTTTGTTATCTACACTAGCTGCTGCAAAAGTAAAGATAGTCCCCCTCTTTATGTGCTGATGAGCCAAATATAATTCTGGATATCTTATATATGCAACAATAACAATAACATCTACAATAGTCAGTTTAACATATGAAAGCTTACTTAGTTCTACAATCAGTCTGAGAAATTTCCTTTGAATTTGAACTTAGTCTGACTTAAAATACTTTAGTGGAAGACCACCTTCTTTAGAAATGCTGGGTTTAGTGGAATGAAGTAATTTTGTCTACATCTAAAATTCCTAAAAAAGAAAGTTTAACTGAAAACAAGTTTTCTCTTTTCTTTTCTGGCATAATTCAATATGAGCTTTGTTTTCAAACTGCAAACTTGGCTTATTTGCAGTCTTTCCTGAGGAATATGTGCTTTGTTAAAATTTGCAAAAATGCTGTTAAAAAGAACAGTTAGGATACTCATGATGAATATATGTAGTAAGAATGTGTGTAGCCTTACATTTTGAATATGCATTGACACATTCTTAGCAGCAAAAGTACAAATACTTTTAGAGAAAGCAAAGGAACACATTATAAAATGTTAGCAAGCTGGTGTCTTGGGAGCTTGGGCTTTCACAAAAAGTGAGCACTTGAATCTGCTCTTACTCTTTCTCCTCAGTCTTTAGATGACCTATCACCTGTTTGTTGGCTTAAAGTTCGGTGCAATAATTTCTTTGAATTGCATGAATGAAACACAGGAGCATTCACACAGAAGGGGGCGCAAATTGGAAAAGTCTGCAGTGAGTCGATCTCAGATGAGATTGTACATCTTAGATTTCATCCCTTTGAACCCTACATAGAAATAGCCTAGTTTGATATTTAAATGATAGAATTTTATCAAAGTGGAATATAAAGTTTGTATCAGCACAAGTGACTTTGATAACTGAAAATGCAGATCCTTTTTCAGTGACACAGGTAGCCTCAGTGATATTTGAATACTTTGCCTTAAATAAAAGGTCATTCTCTTCCATGATAATTTAATTCCTGAATTTAACTGTTTCCACTTTTCTCTACCTGAGTAGAGAATAGGAACAAAATTATAAAATTTAAAGCTTTTGATCCAGAAATAAATTGACATATAAAGCACAAAAATTGAGGTATGAAGATCAATTCAAATTTTCAGATAAATACTAGTCTTTAAAATATCCTATACTTTGCACTCAAATTGAAGATAAGGTAAGGAAACACAAAATGTCACAGTTGTAGGGAGAGCAGAAGCAGAGTGTGAAAGATATGGAGTTTTGAAGAGCAGTTCTTTCCTTTATTAGCTTTTTGGGTATGCAGGCTACAGAGTTTTTCTCATCTTTATTGCCAATTAATCTTGTTGAAGTATATCTAACCAGTTATTTCAAAGAGTTGCTGAAATAACCAAAAATGTAAGAAATGCATAGTTATTCTTAGAAGCTTTTATCATGGCCATAATCTTCCTATATATTAAATTTTCTTTTTCTTTTCTAATTAAAGATCATCAAGCAATTTGAATATAAATCTAATGACTTGAAGTATTTGTTTTACCAGCTAAAGTTCCCTTTTTGATTATGCACATCTCTCATCTCTCTCACTTTCACGGGTTCATTTTTTCACAAATCACTTTTCCTGAAACCTTAAGTCCTGTTTCCATTGTTTGGCTTGGTTCTTCCTGCAGAAAACATGTTATTTTTGCCAGTGACCACAAGAGGACACAATTTCCCAGACAACTTTGTATAAACTGAAGCTTATAGAGGGGGAAAGCTAGCAAAATAGCAAAAATTCTACACAATCCATGAATGTCATATTGGGGATGTCTTTAATTTTTGTCACTTTTATTGATTTTAAAAGACAAAAATGATTTGGCCTTCCAACTATAGATTTTTAGAAAAATATATCTTTCTTAAAGAAGTTATTAAAAGGATTCATAAATGAAAATATACTAAAACACCAAGATTCTAGGGAAAACATTTATTTTTACAGTAAAAGAATGTTCTACAAGATACCATTTTACAAAAAGGGAAATGTTTATTTCACACTAACTAGCAAAATTTTGTACAAATTTTTCAGTGACCTGAAACTTGACATTCTTAATTTTAGAGCCATTTTGGT